CTAACCAGCAGCCTCAAACCCAGCAATGTTTCAAAGATGCAATTAACCAAGCCAATTCCATCTCCATGAGGCCCAAGGCTTCACCAAACCAGTCTAAGCCTTGCACCCCCAATCCTAGTCATCAGCCACAACTAGTTAGGATAGCTCCTTCCAACTCCAGCTCTCCAAACTAATTACCCAGGCCAGGGAACCACAAACCCCACAACCAAGTTACCTTAATCACACCTGAACAGCATGCCTAACTTAACAAGAGCACTCACTTCCTAAATAACCAGGATACACTCAGTAGAGGACAGTGCCTCCACCCATGCCAGCCCCCAGGCTATAGGAATAGCCTGGAAGGGGGTCTTAATTAGCTACTGCCCATTTACTGTGAACAGCTGAGCCACAGCACTAAGCACCCACCCAACACTCTGCTAGCAACCAGCCAAGCAAAGGCCACCACAACCAGAGACCAAAACTAACTAGCCAAGCAAAGGTCATCATAACCAAGGAACCAAGGCAGAAACCCCTTAACCCTACACCTCCCCCCCTCTACCTCTCACCAAAAGTTCTTAAGTGTCTTTTAACCCAGACAGGTCCCACTTCCACTGCCAATATATTAACACAGCACCAAACCATAGTAGTCTGTAACTCTTTAAGTCCGCTAACAGCACATGCCTCCTTCTAAAGACTATATCAAGAACAGTACAGGAAAAAAATTCCATTCTCCCTAGTTGCATCCAATGAAGCCAGGACTAGAATCCTCCACCTTCCGACCCTGAACTACACCATCCCTCACCAACCTTCTGCCTCCCTGAAACCCTATCAAGCCATGCCCCACCAGCTACTATGAGTAAGCCCAACTCAAAAGAGATGCCCCCAACACCTGCAACCCACTTCATCTTTCAGCACTGAACCAACCAAGTGTTTCCACCAATTAATTTAATCCCTCACCACCACAGCCCTAGGTTCCCCTGTCACTCTAGACCCAAACCAAGGCAACTTCTTCCTTGAAGACCCAAGCTGCACTTATTCCAAGCTCTAGAGCAGTGGTTCCCAACCAGTCAGTCAGGGGCAGGGGGTACACTGACACACCAGTCAGGGGCAGGGGGTACACTGACACACCAGTCAGGGGCAGGGGGTACACTGACACACCAGTCAGGGGCAAGGGGTGCACTGACACACAAGGCAGGGGCAGGGGGTACACTGACACACCAGTCAGGGGCAGGGGGTACACTGACACACCAGTCAGGGGCAGGGGGTACACTGACACACCAGTCAGGGGCAGGGGGTACACTGACACACCAGTCAGGGGCAGGGGGTACACTGACACACCAGTCAGGGGCAGGGGGTACACTGACACACCAGTCAGGGGCAGGGGGTACACTGACACACCAGTCAGGGGCAGGGGGTACACTGACACACCAGTCAGGGGCAGGGGGTACACTGACACACCAGTCAGGGGCAGACCCAAGCTGCACTTATTCCAAGCTCTAGAGCAGTGGTTCCCAACCAGTCAGTCAGGGGCAGGGGGTACACTGACACACCAGTCAGGGGCAGGGGGTACACTGACACACCAGTCAGGGGCAGGGGGTACACTGACACCAAACCAATCCAACAGATATGACAAAAATGTGCTGGTGGTACTTAAGGTTGTATTGTTTTATATTGGTGGTGCACAATCTGTCCGTTTGGGAACCCCTGCCCTACAGTATAAACAACTGACCTGCCATCCCACCCTTCCCAAAGCTCCAGGCTGAAGACAAGTGACCCTCATCACCAGCCACCAGCCCAAACCCCATGCTCCCATCAAGCCCCTCTTTCCAGCTTGAGTTACCAGCTTTAACAAACCAACCCAAAGCTTCCTTGGGCCCCTAGGTTACTCTGAATCTAGGCAGGCCCCACATCCAAAACCCAAGCATGAGTACTGCACTGCAAGTAGCCAGGACTCCTCAATTCCCATGCTCACACCACTGCATTCACCACCCTCCAGTTTAAACCCAAACACCTCTCTGCCTGTGTGTACCTTGGATATTCTGTCTCATCACCCCTGTATCCTAGGTATAACCAGACACCACACTAGATGGCTGCAGCTTGTGTGGTAAATGAACAAACCAGACTTCTCACCGTAACTCCTGATACTTGAGATCCCCTTCATCAACCATCCACCATCCTTACCTCCTCCCTCCATCCAAAGGTGCACTCAATCAAGTAACCCATCTACATCTCCTCATGTGCCATGCCACATCTGAAACCCTGAAGAAAACCTAAGCCAGTCATACATAACATACAGCCAGGCTGCAGCCAGTAGCTACAACCCTCCACCTTTTCCAGGCCCCAAGCAGCACTCAACCATACCAGTGTCCTCCCATATCTCCAGCCAACCTAGGTCAGAACACTCCCACTAGTAGTCAGATTATGCTGGTTTCTATCATACATCTCAACCAGGACAGAACACCTCTCCATGCAAGAACACACACTACCTCATTTGGAGCACTCCCCCAAGATCTCATCATGGAGCCCTGGCTTGTTTGCTTGCAACTCCCATATTTGTGTCTGCCCCCCCCCCAACCCGTACCAAACAAGTGACAGAAGTCCATTGCCATTTACAGGCTTCACACAACTAACCCAGGTCCAGACTTTGCAAGAATGCATGTTCTCACCCAAACCAGAATAAACCTCACCCCAGCTCCAACTGAGGAACTAAACCAAACCAGGGCCCAGGCTGAATTCAGTCAATCAAAGCCTTTAACTAGTCAAACCATAGCTTCATCTTCTAACCTTCAGCTGCAGCCAGTTAGCTCAGCCCCTTCCCATCCCCAAGCTGACTTGGATCCAGCCAGGGCACCAGTCAACACCCCAATTAAGTCAAGTCCTCTCATCATACCTGAACAGGAGGCCAGATCAAGAGAAAACACCCACTTCCCAAGTTGCCAGGCTGCACTCTGCAGCACTAAGGGCCCCCACCCATCCCAGGCCTCATTTCCCAGAGCCTCTGACTGCAGTCAGCTAAGCCACAGCACTAGGAATTCATGCAACATCACAAACTAACCAAACCAAAGGTCCCCACAACCTGAACCTTCCCCCACACCACATCTCAACCATCCTAAGACACACCACCCTGTAAGGCTGCACTCATCCCAGACAACCACCACACAACCCTTACCTGACAATTGAATCACTATGACTATGAAGGTGGTTTTCCTAGTTGCAGGGGAAAACCGCTTCCTTGGCAGAAGTTAGTACCCTGACCTAGGTAATGCATAGTTAGCCTCCCACTTTCACTGAGAAGATCTCTGCTATGTACCAACTTCATGGAACTGGGAGGCTCCTCCCTAGCTTGCTCCTGCAGCCGTACAGCTGAGGGCAAGCAAATTTCAGGGGCATCTAGACCCCAAGTCTCTGGGCTTGGGCCTGCACATAGGATGCCCACCAAGGGATTTGGAAGTACCTGAAGCCCCAGGCAGGGATGAAGGATGCCTGCAGGTAGCATGGCCACATATGGCTCTTGAATGACTCAAATTTGTAATTGATTTGGCTTATTTGACTTGGGACACAACATTTTCTGTAAAAAACCAAACCACCACACTATCCCCCAAGCTGCTGCTAACCCCAACAAGCCAAACCTGTCCCCCATCCCCTGACAAGTCCAGCCACCTACCCCCACTTCAGGCTACATGTTATCTAGTAGCTGAAGTAGTTTCCCCTGCACAGTTCTAACAGAAGCCCCACCCCACAGAGCACCCAAGCTGCACTTCATCTGAAAACCTCCACCCCTTTCAAGCCCCAGGCTACATCTAGCCATGAGGCTCCCACCATCCAACTGCAGCCAGCCCAGCCCAGGGATCCCCACCTTCTTTGCCTGAAAAGGAGACCTCAAGCACTTTCCAGGCCTGCCTCCAAATCTCAAGCTACACCAACAAAACCACCCTCTGCTTCCCAGCAAATCCCAGCTCTTACCCCCCCCCCCCCCCCACCACAACACCCCCCCCCCCACCCAAGCCACCCAAAGC